GTATTTGTGACACCCCGCACACCTCTGGGGGTATTTGCATCTGGGGCCCGCAGATGCTGCTGGACCGGAGGGGTGAACTGGGGTACGAGCCACCCTCCAGGCTTCTCTTTGATCCCGTGTTTGTTTTCCTTTGGCCCTGTGAGTCTCTCCAGTAATTGCAAGTTGCCATGTTTCAGCAGCAGAGCCCCAAACCTGTTGTCTGCCTCCTGCACTGTGCAGACTTTAAATTGCAAATAAACTTGATGATAGAAGAGAGGAACTGCCGAAGACTGAATAATAGGACAAGATCAAGACTTGGATACTATAACGCTGAGCAGCCTCAAAGCACTGGTAACAGATAAAATCAAATTACCTGAATCTGGGTGTATTTCACAATTAAAAATAATGTTTTTAATTAAAATAATTCTAGTGGAGAAGGAAGTAAAATATATATACAAGTCATTAGCCAAGTTTTATGCTCTTCCCATAGCTTCATGCGCGTCTGGTAAAACATGCAATAAATCTGAGAGCTGCTATTAAGAGCCCGCTGTCAGGTTTCCTTGAAGCACGCTATATAATACCCATTTTGTTCCATTCCTCTCAATAATAACGTGGTCCTGTCACTCCCAGGATAGACATAATGTGCTGTGCCCATACGTGAATCATCAGGATAAGGTATAAACCATCAACATCCAGATTTAAAAAAAAAACAAACCACGCTGGAAATGCTCTTTAATTTTCTCCAGTTCTGATCTATTTGAGGGTGTATTTATGACGGTAGAGAATGGCCCTGGCCCTCTCCCTACAGCTCGGGCTGAGAGCAGACGTGAAAGTGGAAGACTGACGGCTGCGAGATGAAACCAGAGCTGTAACACCGAAAGCAGCGTGCGAGACGAACCCTCCTTCTTCCAAACCTGAATTTCAGTGTAGGGCACGGTGGGGTTAATAGCGGAGCAGGTTCCACTGGAGCTGTTTGGCGAGGGAGGAGATGGGAACAGATTGCCAAGGCACAATTACACTAAATGAAGGAAGCACAGGCCACACCTGTGCCTGGGACCCTGCGCTCGCAATCCAGCCCTGATTGGATCTCCAGAGACTTCCCGGAGGTAAAGTGTCAATTAGTGTAATGACCCTGGACTTTGTCCACTCCGTTCGCTCATTCTGAGCGTGGAATAATTTTGTGTACGCTGGGGGATCTCTTTTAGCAAACTCCTCACAACACCACCTGCTCACCCTCTCATTCTTCCAGTGCTATTCCCAGCTCTCCTTCTGCAGGATTGTTGAACTAGAATACAAAATGCAGCGTGCCCCGGAGGCAGCGAGGGCTGGATCTTCAAGCAGACAGTAATGCCCAAACACCTGTATAGATAATATCGTCTTTTTTTAGAACGGAGAATGTAGCAAACCCTGCCCGTGTGTCCTGCATACGCATTCAGGGAAATGATGGGACTCCATGTAAGAGAGGTTCCCAGCTCCATTAACAACTCTGATTACCATGAAGTAATTATCCCCGTCTTACAGACAGATTACAGGCAGTCTTCTCTGGCAGATTTTGTCTCAAAATGCGCTTCTTGCTTAGGGCTGGAGACAGTTTTAACCCCCCCTCCCCGTACGCAGCCAGTACATACTTTACAAATCACTTCACGGAGGTTGGATCTTGGCGCGCTCTGCGGAGCTAAACAGGGCTGAGCCAAACCTGAGCTCACCCGAGCGAGGAGTGGGGAGCTCTGTGGGGCCAAGACAGGAAAACCAACCCCCGGCTGGTGCCATCCTGCAGGCATTGCAGCCCCTGCTGCGCCTGGGGACCCCCTGCAGCAGGAGGATGGGTCGATGTGTTTAATTGAGGCATCCGAAGACGAGCTGAGATGATCTTCCAGTACTGAATGACACCTTCCCGCGCTCGGGGTCCGTCGCTGTCGTGTGCTTCAACGCGAGGAAGACAGCTGCGATCGGTTTTAAGCTCGTGTCAACAGGTTTAGCCAGCTTAAGAGCACGTTAAGCCCTACTGAGACAAGGTTTGTAGGTTGGTGGTATGACTTGGGAGCCTAATCTATACATGTTCTTCAGCTTTAGCCAGCTTTGTACTTACGTGAGAAGTGCAAGTCTTTTCTATGTGCCAAGCTGTTTCTATCATGCTTCGGGGAAGTCATTCAGCCTATGCTAAGTGCTGAAATAATCTAAAAGTGTAGAAGCTGCAGGGGAGAGCAGTTCAAAACCACCAGGAGCTGAGGTTAGGCCAAGATTTCCTGTCACTGCTGAGCTAGCTGAAAAAAGCCAGGAGTGTCCTGAACATGGGAATTAAAGCAAGAAGATGACTTAAATGACTCTGAGCCTACGTTGTTATACTGCAGCATTCGCGTGTCTTACGTTGCTAATGAGCAACAATGCTGCGGATAAATGCAGTAGTTGAGATTATAGCAAAAAAAGATTTATTTTTTTTTTTTCACTGCAACAGGACTGGCATATTTGGAGCAAAAAGCAGCAGTCGTGACAACATATTGTTTATCTTTCATCCAGACCACAGCTGTGTTTTCCACTGGTCTGTCCAGATTATAGCTAATTTGGAATCCCATGTATGAAAAGCCGTTTCGATGGATGAAATTGGGCTATCTCTTCAGCACTTAAATATTTGCAAAGATGCTGTGGAGCTTAATTAGTTAGCAGCAACATTTTATCTTACGGGTTCACTTCCAAAAAGAAGATGAGAAATGCTGGAGAGATGACACAAGTATGTGACAGAAATAAACACATTAGATAGTTACAGGAGCAGCAGGAGGAGGCATTGAATGATTTGATATCTGGAGTATCTGTTAGGCTCTAACAATTAATTAAAATATGTATTAATTCGTATTAATCCTTAATATGAGGGTCTTAATAAAGTGTGATTATCTTGGGTTTGGAAGAGCTTTCAGTAGGTGCATTAGACATCTGAAACGCTGAATACACGTGTCCCCCTAAAGCTGCATTTCCTCTCCGTTTCCCTCACTAGAGTACGAGGGCTTTCCAGTGTTCCTGCTCCCCCATTTCATCCCCTCTCCAGCTCCGACGTGCATCCCTGGTACTCGCCTGCGGTTTTAGGCAGACTCCCGTGGTGTGTTTGTCTCTGCAGCCTTTCCTCTCCGTGTGCAGGCTCTCCCGTGTTCGCTGTCCTCTGCATGTCAGCACAGGTTAGCTTTAAACCCTCTCTGCCTCTTTTAAAAAATCTGTTTTGATTTTTTTTTTTTTTTCAAGCGTGCTGCCAGGCCAGCAATCCTGCGCTCTTGAAATGCGACCAGAGGGCTTCCAGATAAAATCTCACCAAACTGAAAGGCCATTGTGCCACCGGGATGCAACACGGGCTGAGCCAAGGGATTGCTGCCTTGAGTGTCCTCATCAGGGTGTGAGTCAGAGATGGGCTTTGGCAGCTCCCAAACTTCTGCCTGAGCCTGTTTTCTGCAGTGGCTGGGGCAGGGCAGGAGTGAGCGGGTGGCCGCCGCGAGAGCTAAGGTGGGATGTGCGGGGAGAGGAGCAAGCAAATTGGGGAGCTTCACAAAAATAGTCTGAATTTGAGGGTGGTCCGTACAGATCACGCAGCCGGTGCCGGCGATCGCCTCTCCACCAGGACACAGCTAGCTGGGTGTGAGAGCGACAGATTAGTTTGCTCGAGCTTGTCATTTCAAATTCCCTTCCGGTTCTCTATCAGCAAAGCTCAGGCCCATCCCCACAATCAGCTTCTCCCTGGATGGTTGCCGAGATGTGATATTTATAGGGTTTACTGGAAACTGTTGGCACATTACTGGGCTTCGAAATGTGATTGTTTTTCGGAGAAGGAAATTAGCTGGAGTGTGGGGCTGGTGGCCAGCTTGGACTGTAAGCAAAGGGAGCCTGAGGTCAGGACCAAGCTGCATTGTTTCTTTTATCTTCAAAAGCAATTTGCCGCTCTCTGTTTTTTAAGTGACTCTTAACGTGATGGACAAAATGAGATCATTGGGTAGTAATCCTCCATTTTATAAATACTTGAAGTATTAGTGAAGTACACCCTGAACCACTTAAACAAGTACCTACTGGAGTGATCGGGTGGATAAAAATCTGGTAATTTATAACCCTGTAAGAGGGCTTGGAGCATGACATCTGGGTCCCAGCTTGGAATAATAAAGCAGTAACGGAAGAATGTAGATGGGGCAGAACCCCGGGGTGGATGTTGCGAAATGGAGGAGGTATTCTTGTCTTGGACAAGTCACTTCTATTCTTCTTCTCCATCTTCCTGTTTGCATAATATTAGTTCATCTTACTTGGTGATTGTGAAGTTTTACTCACCAACGGCTGTATTTGAAACCTTTAGCTTGAGAACGCTCTTGAAAAACCAAGTATCAACACTACCTTGGTTTCCCTGCGATAAACACCTCTGCGGGGTGCACATGTTTTGGAGAAGCACCCGAAAGAGTGGAGGATGAATGCGCAGAGAGCTGGGTGACCTCGTGGGTGACACGCCGGAAGGATCCCCTCGGCACGCTTGTGTGCTGACGCATCTGTCAAGGTGTTTGTCCCGTGTCTGGGAAGTCTCCCCCAGTACTCGTTTAAGGCACAGCTTGAGGACAACCCTAAAAGCACCTTTCTTTGTACGTGCCACCTCTGCCAAGAAGATCCCCCTCGGGACTCGGCGCTAGCGCGCGGCGTATCCGCCCGATTATGAAGCGACGCGCTGGGGGCCGCTGGGACTAGCAGGTTTCAAAGCTGAAGCTCCATGCTGAGAGATGATCTGCCAGGAGCCGTGTGCTTCCTTCCCGGGGAGGGCAGACCATCTGCCAGCCTTGCTGCCCTGAGCACAGCAGCTCAGGCCCACGGCCTCCGGGCCCAGCCAGGCTGGACTCTGTCAGCCCACGTGTTTCATTCCCCCACGGCCCTCTGGGGCAGTTAGTGTCACCGACGTGTTTACATCCTCTTTACCTTTGCTGTGGCCCAGGAAAAGTCTTCTGAGCTAGCACTGTAAAGATGTCGTGTGTGAAGCCCTACTAATAACATTTGGGTTTTTTTTTTTCTAGTTTTGCCAGTGATGAATACCAAAGGGCTATGGAGCGAATATCTGTCACTGTCCAGCAGCACAAAGCCACCGTGGTGCCAGGACAGCCTCAGCTTAACGTGTGCGACAAGGCCGTCATGGTGAGCTGTTAAAGCATAAAGACATCTGAGGATCCTTAGCTTAAAACGTATTTTGTAAAGGCTTAAAGATGTCACCTAGCGCTGGGAGGGGATGGAGGAGAGATGCACTCTTGGCTGTTTGAAGGTCTGTGGCTTCCTTCCTTAGAGATAGGGCACTATCCACAGCTGTAGATCTTCCTTCTCCTTTCTAATCCCCTTCTGCAAATCTCAAAAGTCCTCTCTTTTGAGCGGTGGGACTGGGTCAGTGGCTTTTTCTGAGTGATGTGTGTGAGTATCTTTGGTCTTGCTTGGTCTCCTCCAGTTCCACCCATGCCTGACTTCTCCGGAGTGTGGTTTGAAACATGATGAGCATTTTCAATTCGGTTTTCTGTTTCAAGTCGCATTTTGGAAAGTTACAGTTTGGCTTTCCTGTCAAATGCTGCTGGGTTTGTTGAGAACCTGGGAAAGAAACTGCATGGTTTGTAGGAGGTAAAGTTGTCAGATGACAAGAGTGTGTGTCGTCTAAAGGGATGTGCCTGTAGACTGACACAAAATAGTAACAGGCAAAAATCTTTCTGATGCTGAAATAATCTTCTGAAACCAAGAGTCAGTACCTGCTGCTTAGGGTCTATCCCCAGACAGCAAAGTACAGAACGTGGAGCCTTAGTAAGAAGGCAAAGATCTTTTTTAGCTTGGTCACATCTTCTTTATTTTTGGATGTTAAGTAGGAAAAATATTTGAAGGACCATTGTTTCTGTGTTTTCTTTCATTATTCAACTTTTCCCTTAATAAACACTGTTCTGTGCTCCTCTGGGACCTTTTGGGTTCAGGCACTCCCCAGTGCCTGGCAGCTGCCTGAGACCTTCACTGCAAAGGCATTTCTTCTGTGCTAACTCCAACTCCAGAGCTGGTTCATAAAGTGTAGGCACAGTCCGCTGGTCTGCAGCTACCCTGGGGCGGTGTGTTTAGGTGCTGTGACAACATCTGGTGTCCCTGTTTGTCAACAAACAGTGTCTTTGGGTTGTGTAAGGGAAAAAGTGCTGGACTGGAGGTCCCATACTGGGCCCTGTACACCAGCCCTCTCCTTGGCACTACTGAGAGGCAGTCTTATCCCTTCTCCCTTGTTCTGTCTCAGTTGAGTAGAAGTTTTGCGGACCGTGGGCTGCCACTTCTGCTTTGGCTACGGCCATGGCCAGGGCTTGGCCAAGCCCAGTTCTGCCTAGTATCTAAGCAGAGGCAGCTAATGGCTGCTCCAGGGCTTGGCCAAGCTCAAGGCAGATCCTTCAGGCTGTCTGAGGCAGAAAACCCTCCCCGGTGGGCTCGGGGGGGTTGGATTCTAATCCCAGGAGAAATGTTCAAATCCCAGCAGAAAACATTACGAGTTTTCTATTCTATGTAAACACCTAACAGGCTGATTGCAGAGCCACAAAACTAAAATGAACAGGCAAAAGTATTGCCTTTTGAGACCAGAAGGGAAGTAACCACATCTTTTTGGAGCGATAGTATTGCTGGGGTTGACTGGGCCCTAAATCTGTCTTTGGGGGATGCCCTACTAATATTATGTCCAACACTGTCTCTAAATCCTGTCACCATTTATTTGATGCAGGCGTTTGATATCTTTTCTGGGACAGAGGAAAAGAATCGGTTTTACTTATCCATGAGCAAAGCAGATGTATCGTTTTGTAGCTACTGCAGTCTTGGGATTGATGGGAGCTCAGCAGCATCAGCCCTCCTGAGCAGGGGAAGTGTTTGCTGGCCCATCTGTGGTGGATCCCACCAGCAGTGCAGCTGAAGCTCCCGGGGAGCCAGTTCTGCTGTGTTTTCCTCCTGTGGAAGTGTCAGAAAAATTACTCTGTGCAGTGGAGCCGTGCTGGCCTGACGATGTGTTTGACTTGCGGAGTCCTCAGGGCTCTCGGAACTGGCAGCACCAACCCAGGAAAGCCGACTTGCACTGCGAGACTGAAGCAGAAACAATTTGATATTTTTTTTTTTCTTTTCCGAAAGAACAAACATTTCATTTATTTCTTTGGATGTCTGTTGCTTCTACACAGCAGTCAGGCATCGGACATTTCCAGCGGTGGTTGTGCATTTTAAAATTGAGAAACAGATTTAGAAAACAGCATTAATTGTTCTTAAACCGGCTGGAGGCCTTGGTGCAGCGAGGTGCCTTCCCCTAAAGCTCCCCTCTGTGGCCTGCTCCTTCTGCAGAGATAGCTGGTGTCTCACTGCCATCTGTTGTCAGATGTATGGAATAGAAACCTGACATTTTTTTTCTGGGTTTAAGCTTTTCCTCCATAGGAATTTAATGCCAAGAAAACGTAAGTGACTTGAAGGATAAAAAGAAATCAAATGAAAGGCAATAGGTCAGAGCTGAACTGACCTTTAATAGGCGACAGCAGGAATCTCCCGTGGCTGGTTAGACCTCGAGAGAGGGAAGGACAGAGAACGAACGCCAAAGATTTGTGAAGGCAGAATGGGAATTGTAACCGCAGTCCCAAATTTTAAATGGCAAAACCCCCCATGAAATTGAAAAGAGTTTTTGTCCAAATTCCTCCCTCCGTTAATCCCTTCGGAAGCTGATGTTTGCAGGGGGTTTCCTCGCTGATGGTGTTTCTCTGTTGTACACATGCTGCAGGAAGGTTGTTCAAGCAACATAGAAACAAGGGAAGCAAATAGTTTTGGTCTGCAGGCACTGGAGTAGTTGTCTCATAAATGCCTCCTGCTCCATCTGTTCATGAATTCATCCATCAAAATGCTCATGAAAATACCAGCATACTTCTCTCTCTCACACCCTTGGCCTTCTGTTGCTTTTTGCTCGTTTCCTCAAGAAAGCGTGTGGATGTCTCAGTGCTAAGAATGGTAACTCTTTTCTGGATCCCAGGAAAATTGGGGGTTTCAGCTCATGGTCTGCTTGCTCCATGCTACTACAGGAAAGAGAGGAAGGTCACCAGAGTCCCAGCGGGCTGCTTTGGTACAGGAGAGACCACTGTGTCCCAGAAGAGGGAGTCATCTGCTGCAGAAGGATTTGTTATCTTTCCTAAAGCTTTTTTTTTTTTTTTTTTTTGAATGGTATTTGGAGTTGGGAAGTTGATGAGCCCAGGAGCATCAGCTACAAGAGGAGTTTCATTTTCCAAACGAGACATAAGAGTGTCTTTGTGACAACCAAAAAGGGTTGGTTAGGGTACAGGGCTCAGCAGATACTTGGTATGAGTCATCTTTCTCTCTATTTTTTGTTTGTTTTTGACAGAACTGGTCTCCTCCAGGCTGTGAGAAGCTAGGGAAGTGCCTGAAACCACCCAAGTCTGACCCTAAGAAGTGCTTTTGGCCTCATTGATCTTCTCTGCAGCCCTCAAGAGCGACACAGCAAAGCTCTAACCAGCCGGACATACAGTTTACAAAGCATGTCTTCTCATGTTGGCACTCCTGTTTACACAGGAAGGGTGTGATGTATGTATGATTTCATCATTTGCTCTTCCAAAAGGGACAGTGTTTATATTGCTAGTGCTCAGGGTTTAGCCCGTGCCCTTCTGTTGGTTTAGTTGTTTCCGTAAATGGTAACTTTTCAGTGAAGACTGTTTCCACTCTAAAAAGCTCTCTGGATAACCACAACTCTGCCATCACCTCAGAAAGGCCGTGGATGCACCTTTCCTCTCGCTCCTTCCACCTAGCCTGCTCTCCCAAACCTTTGCTCGTTCAGATGCCGCAGCACCAGCCGTGGGGTCTGTTCAGGAAACGTACAGCCGCCAGCAAACCCTGCCCAAACTGCCCTTGTTTTGTTTGCCTGTAACTTGTTGTTTTAACATTTGATTTCCATTGTGAACTCTTTGGACACCAATTTGTTTTTCCTTTCTTCCTAAACTTGGGAGTACTGGGTACAGCTGCAGAGCCAGACCGCTGCCACGCATCGCTTGGTGCAAACAAGTCCTGCCTCCTGTTCTGGCCTGAGGGGCCGGCTGCAGGCAGCACACCCTGCCTTCCTCCCTTCTGTACCTGCAAACATTCCCTACGTGGTGGTATAAAGAAATTTGAAGGTAGCACTCATGTAAGTATTGCCTTATTGATGGTGTGCTGGATCTTCTTGGGGAGCTGGTGGTCAGTTGTTCAATTTAAGGCGTTTTCTTCAATTCCAAAAATCTGGGTCCAAATATGGTTTAAGCCATGCTTTTAGTCTTATGATCTGGGCCCAGCCAACTGCAGGCTCAGAAATGCCCATTTGCATCAGATGTTAACTCTTGACCCTGTTTCCAGCATGTGCTCTCTGAGGAATTCTTGTGCAAACGTTCCCCAGCCTGGGTGTAACACTTCTCTAAACAGAGTTCAGGGTAAATGCTGATCCATTGCAAATTTCTCATCTGCTTTTGGGCCTGTTTGACACCCTTTGCTATTGCTAATAAACATGTCTCGAGCAAAGCCCAGCAAGGTTACTCTGGAGCTTTGGGGGAGTAGCTAGAAACAAGCCTGGACAGGCAGTTTGCACCACTGACAGCTCCGTGTCCACCCCTCCGGGGGCTTTGGCAGTGCACGTGCCCTCTCTGCGGGGCGTTGTGCTGCCTTGGGAAAAAATCGAGGTGCTCTGTACCCATAAACAGCCCCGCAACCTTCCCCAGCAAAGCTCGGGGCTGCCTTGAGATGGGTTGAGAACTCTGGTGCTGTGCTGCTGCCTGCTACGGGCTTCTCAGCTGCTTGTTCTTACCCTCCCGGTGATCCCAAATGCTCTCATTCTCCCCGTTCCCATGGTTTACGCCACCTGTAATCCTCTCTGCAGTAATTCCTGCTGTATATCTCATGAAGCCGGATAATCCTATAAGATTGTAGTAAGAACAGCACTTGAGTCAGCTCTTGGAGTTCCACTTACCAGAAATCACAGCCAACACTTCATCGGCTGGCAGAGCCTCTGCATCTCTGTTTGCACATCTGCAAATGGCATTTGTTTATAGTCCAAATTTCTTAGCTGCCTTATGATGGTGCTAATTGTCCTTCAAGTCTATCAAGGCCTTTCCAGTTCATCCATAACATTTCTCCTTGTTTTGACATAGCGTGGGTAGCTCGAGTGTGGCGTGATCAGCCTGTCCTGCAGCGATGCTGGGTGAGAGGACCTGCACCGGTCGTGTGTGTCTGCCAGCACAGAACACCAGACAAAACCAGTAATTTCCCATTTTTCTGGGTGCTGTCCACCTCTGCTTCAGTGCTGCTGTCACCCAGAAGCACTGGGAGCCCTGTGGTTCACTATTATCAGCAGATAAAGATACCACCAGAGGAGGGAGTCTGTCCCTGCAGACTCCCTGCGAATCCCTATCAGCCCTCAAATGGTTACGAACCTGTCTGCTGCGAATTGTGACAGCGCTTTTGTCTTTCTGCGGGCTGCTTATTAAGAGATCACATCGCAGGGTCACATCTCATCCTCCGAGCGCCAGCCCAGACACGTTTCTCAGTTCTTCACATTTTCAGTATGTGCATCAGGAGCGTGCGCTGCCTGCCGGCTGCCCCGTGTCCCCTGCCTGCCTGCCTGCCACTTCAGTCTTCCCTCTTTCACAGCTTGCAGTTTTGCACATACTGCTTTTCCCCCGTCTGTGTAACTTGCTTGGACAAGCCACCCCATTCTCAGCACGCACGGTGTTTGTCTGGTTACCCTGCACACAGAGTCCTCATTCCTCATTGAAATAATCCCCCGGTGCATAGATACTGGATGTAAACTTTGCACTAAAAAGCTGGCTGCTGTGAGTGAATCGACTTGACGTCTGTTTAGTATCTGCTTCATGGCTATTTATTATAAAGGATCAAAGCTTAAATGTGAAGAAGCCACTGCTTTAAATTTAAATAATAGTAGCTTTACAGCTGGATAGCTGCGAAAAATTTTAAATCGATGCCTTTCCCAAAGATGTACAGATTTTAAAGTTGTGAGATTAAGAACTAACGAAGAAAAATAAACTAATTTATCAGAAATGCACCTATTTGTCCGCGGGTACCTGTAGAACAACTGAATAACACCTTCTTTTGGGACAGTCTCGCAGATCCGCCTTCCAGATCATGGGACTGACTTGGGTTAAAAATAACTTGTTTTGTTTTCCCTGTATTATTTTTAACGTGGATCAATTTCCCAGCCCACACAGCTGCCCAAGCGCAATTCAGAGGCTGGGGCAGGGGGGGCCCAGGGCCCTACATGGCCTGTGGCCGTGGCCACCAGCAGCACCGCGGGGGTGAGCGCTGCCAGCTCAAACACACCCCGTGGGTCACAAAACGACCGGCAGATATTACCCCGTCTGCCCTTAATAACTACCCAGAGCCTCTGATCTGAGGTCACTCTCTGTGATAGTCGCCCAGTTTGGGGAACTGCCCATACTGGGGCAGGTGGTGGCTTTGCAGGAGCTGCCTGGGGGACCTGCCAGGGGTTGTGCGTGCAGCAGTCGACAGAGAAGGGGGTCTGGTGGGGTTTACTGGCCCGTCGGGGACCAGCAGCCGTGCAGCTGCTTGGTTGGTGGCTCCTTTCTCGAGCTGCAAGACATAAAAGCTGAAGGAAAGATGTTGTCTGTCTAAAACTGCTTCTGTGTGATGTTCCTTTCTTTATATTTAAATGCATCTGCTAAAAGCTTTAATATCCACTTGGGCTAAGAGTCCAAGGAATTTCTTTCTTGCCTCTAATTTCCAATTAGCTGAGCCTCCCGAGTCTCCCTGCTCTGCCCCTGAGGCTGTGTTATCATCCAACCCTCCATGCAGAGAAGCTTCTGAAATTGATGTAACTAATAATCGTGGAAAAAGTCCTACTGCATTTACAGTCTATGGCTGCAAAAATGGAGCCTTGATTTAAAATCCTGCAGCGACAAATGGATTATTTCGGTGGCAAATTAGTCTCTGCAGACCAGCAATTTGGGGATCTGAACACTGGAATTGGAAACCAGAAGATCAATTCCGAACACTTAGAGCCAAGGTTAATGCCCTGCAAACTGTATTGAGTGCAGCGATGAAAGATAACGTGTCTCTGCATTTTAAACGGGAAGCCAAGGAGCACGGTATGAAAAGGGAAAATGAACAGAACGAGAGCGAGCGCTACCCACGTTATTTGCTAATAAAACCTTACGCGGTGTCTGGGGACTGAGTTTTCAGGCAAGTGCTGAGGATGACAGTGGGCTTTTTACTAAAGGAACTGGAACTAATATCGCCGAGAAGGGAGGCTGTTGGATTTGGGATGCTCGCTGCCGCGTGGAAGCTGGCACTTCTCGGTACCTGCCGAGTCGAGCCTTTCCCAAACGTGCTGGGCAGCTTCCAGAAGCCTCCTGGTTTCACCTCAAGCAAAGCAGACGAGATGAAGGTCTCCTGAAAGTTGGACAATACTCTTTTTTTTTTTTTTTTTTTTCCCCACGGGAGGACATCTTTGCGGTGACCGCGCGAAATAACGTCAGCAGCTGCAGCAAGACCTTTGGAAGGTGAGAGCGGTTTGACTGGGGGGTGTGGAGGGAAGCAGTGCTGGGAGATGCTTCGTTGGCTGCAGGGTTGCCAGCAGCCTCTTCAGCACAGCTGGGTGAGAAATCTCTCCCCGGGGGTCTTGCTCTTTTCCTCAGCACTGGGAAACTTTACAAACTACATGCACGTTTACTCTCCAAAAGCTACTCTTGAGCACTTGTTCAGTGTCCAAATAACTGTTTTGCAGTTAGAGTGGCTTGTTTGTCATTTCTCTTAACAGTTACAGTACCTGGAAATAGACTTTTGCTTTTGTTTCTTGACAGTATTTGATGTGAGTCTTTCATATGCTATCAGAAAGCAACACGGCGGTGCCTCTTGAATTAAACTTTTTAAAGAACAGTTGTAAGGGGAAAACCGAAATCTCATTTTAGGTTCTTTTTTTTTTCCTTTGGAAACTGCCTATTTTAAACACTGAGAAAAGACTCCATTTGCCTGTTTTCTTTATATCCCCTTCCACCGTTTCGTTGTTGCCCAAAGTCTAGTTTAGATTATATAAATCCGAAATAAAGGTGGAACCTCAGCCAAAAGCCTGTGGTCTCTTAGGAGTGTAAAAAAGCCTCTGCCATCCAGCTTCTCGAGAGAGCCAGTCTGGCAGCTGGCGTGTGATTCTCTGTGCCTTTGTCCCTCCTGGAGTCACTTAATACCCTTCTGGGCGATATGTAGGTTGGTAGCACGATTCCCATCTGAATGGGCTAGAGGCCGAAAAGCCCATCGGCCCGTTTGCCAGCAGCGAGGAATGTGTGCCAAATCCATTAGTTCTGGATCAGACTCAAAATCCCCTCCCGGCTCGGCCAGGCTGGCCAGAGGAGGGAGAGGGGGGTTGTGTCTTCTCCAAGGGCCTCATCCAGCCTGGTGCCACGGGCGGAAGGTGCTGGGCTCGAGCAAACAAGGATGCTGTGGAAGGGCAGAGCTGGATCATGGTGCTTTCACCTCTTTTAGGGGGGTGACAAAGCTAGTGCGTTACTCGGTACAGACACTGCGGTCCCGAGCCCAGGGAGCTGGCTGGGGAACTGCATTCTTCTGCTGTTGAAATAAGATATTTCAATTTTTTTTTTTTTAAAAAAAAAAAAAAAAAAAAAAAAAAAAAAAAAAAAAAAAAAAAAAAAAAAAAAAGAAAAGGGTTTAAAGTGCATGCATTTCTAAAGCTGAAATTGAAACGAAACGTTCCAGCAGATTTGAAAGGAAATTTTAGTTCTTATTTCCCCTTGTGGGGTGTGTTGAAATTTTGGGCGTTTTGTTCCACTTCACACTGAAGTTTTAAAATCCTTAACGGAACAGAAACTTCCATACTCAACCCAGCTCTTCCAATTGCCTGGTTAAGCTGATTAGAGTTAGCTCTCAAGCTTTTATCCCCCCAGTTTCTATGACCACCAGCTAGTAACACCTCTCGTATCAGGATCTCAGAGCACTTTTACATCACCGATCACCTCTGTGTCCAAAAGAGAGACAAAGCCCTAAGCAGCCCAAAACCTCTTGGAGCCACAAGCGGATGTCAAGACACCTCCCAGGTGATATTCCAGAGCTGAAATCCTTTGACATCACATTTGGAAATCGGTCCTAGGAAAGTTCTTTTCGGATGGAAATTACAGTAGGAGTCAGCACTGTTGTTTGAAAGGTTGAACAATTGCAGGGAAAACTAATTTGGATGTTAAAAACCAGTCTGTACTGGTAGGTGCGATTCAGATCCTTTGAAATGGAGGATTAATGAGGTGAAGTTCTGACAGATCTGAGAAACGTTGGGTTTTAAACCTGAGCTGGCACATGGCATAATTTTCGGCAGCTGAATCACTGGAAGTCCGATTTGGAGTAACCTTTATGCTCTTCCTGGCAGAGCTGACGGTGTCTGCGAGGCCCGATCCTGCACCAGAGCCGGAGAGATCCCCCCAGCTGGACACGAAGGGGCCGGTGGGAGCCCTCGGCGACTCATCCTGGTGAGAGCTGCTGGTTTGCCCGGGGTGGGCTGGCACGAGGGGCCTGGGAACCTCGTGGTGTTTTCTGCTAGTAACAGTGGTGATGTGTAGGAGGGTCACGAAGACAAGAAAAGTGTGATGAAGACCCCAGCTTACAGCTCCTCCGTGAGAGGCAGAAAGCAGGCTGCGGAAGAGCCCTTGCCCAGCTCCTGCTTGTTTCCATGGGTAGGCAGATAAATTCCATCCCTTCCATCCGCCAGGAAGAAAAGGAGTTGCTGGAATAGCTCACTGTCCGGTGTCGTGGTTGGTGAGGTTACAGGAGAAACCCTTCCAGCTCATCCGAGGGAGCGAGGGTGTTGCAAAGCCCCTGTTCCAGTGGAAGGGGATGTTTGCTTCGCTGGAACAGCTGCTAGAGAGGATTTTTCTGGTGCCAAAGAGATAATCTGACCTCAGGGAAAATCTTAGTCTGTAAGGGAATGGTTGTGAAAGGAGGCAGGCTGACCTTGTCTCTGGCAACAGGGAGTGTAACAAGAAAGGGAGCAACCTTTGCACTGGCCTTCGGCTTGTCTCCCTCCGCACCTCAGGCCTCTGGTACACACCTGTCTTGCTGTCTGTGGATAAAATTAGGAAGCAAATAGAGCGGTGGAGGATTCAGTGTGCAGCAAATGACTCTCGAGGGTTTTCCCTGAGCGCTGGGAACCGCTCAGCGACACAGGACGTGTCGGCTGCAGGGCTGAGGGTGGAAGCGGGTCCCTCGCGAGCCGTGCTGTGCCTGTGAGCCCCCCACGGCGTAGCTGGAGAGGAGACAACCAGCTTTCCCCTCCTGTCAGCTGCTCCTCCTGTGCCAGAGCTGGCAGGACCCACAGGGCTGGTGGGAGCGACTGGTCCAACAAGAGTAGGAGGAAGCAGCTCTGCGTTTGCTACCAGAGCACCCAACCCATGAGGGGGCCACAGCACAGCCCTGCAAAATCCCTGGCTAGCTGCTGGCACACTGTCACACGCTGCCACACGCTGTCACACGCCTCAAGGACAGGCCCCAACGCCTGGCCCAGGGGTGCTGAGCTTGAAGCTGTTCCTGTCACGGCCTCTCGCAGCTGGCACCGAGCTCAGCCGGGGGTGTTGCACGCTCGAACCTCCCGGATCACATCCAGGTCCTGTTTGCTAGGGGCAGAGGAGGTCTGTACTCAGTCAGCACGACATCTCCTGCCCACAGCGGATTTTGGGTGGACAAACGGCTGTTTGCCCATCCGGAGGTGGGAGATAAGAGCCGTGTGAGTGCCCTGACCTGCCACACAAACCAGTGACACCAGTATCAGCTGAGCTGGCGGTCTGGGAGCGAGGGCGCTTGGACCGGCTGCGTTATCACCCAAACCAAGGGCTTTGACAAACACAGAATGCAATTCCAGGGGTTCACAAGAGGTGAGGAGGGACAGAAAAGCGGGAAATAATTTAGTCCTACCACACTTGCTGTCTGCGTGAGGCGCAGGGCCGGGGTGAAGAGGGGTGGAAGTGTAACCCCCAGGCACAGCACCCCTTTTCCCAAGCTGGCTGGAGCAAGGCGGGGGCCCAGGGCTCTGTGCAGGGGGGGTGATACGGCCCCATATGCTGCAGGTACCAGAGCACCCTTCAGAGGGGAAACTGGGGTACTGGGGCTCCCTGCTTTGAGGGACTGGGGTGCTGCATGCTGGGGATACCTGGGCAGGGGGGGCAGAGCTCCCTGCTCCAGGCTAGCAGGGCTAGCACTGGGGGGGTCGGGGCTCTGTGTGTTGGGGTACCCC